GCGAGCAAGTGGAATTAACAAAGCTAGTGCCGGCAGCAGCGGAGCACAACCAAGCGATCGCAATGGCAAGGCAGCTAGCGACCGAAGCCATCGAACCGGTACAGACAGCGAGTCACCACGTAAACCAGCTGCAACAGCCAGCTCCCGTAAACCCGACTATGCAACACGCCCCGCTGCGACACCCACCCGTACAAGCCTGGGCCGCGCCAGTTATTAGTCGGCCGACGTCGCAGGTACCGATATTGCCGCCCCAGCGCCCTCCATCCGAACCGATCTCCCAACCTTTTAACATTAATCCGAACCTCGTAGTTCCTCTACCACATCGCGAACAACACCTTGCTAACATAGCACGTTCGACCTCGACCATTCCCCTCCCTACATCTACTTCGAGAGTCTTGAAATCGACTCAGATTCCTCCACCGACACAGGGAAGGCCTCCGAACAGACCTTCCACCAATCTCACGATTCTTCCTACCACCGAAGAGGGATCTTGCTTTTTATGCAGAACTGTACATCCCCCTAACAAGACATGCGTTGATCTTAACTCCGAAATCTCACTGAGAGTCGCGATCGATCTTCTCAGAGCTAGTGGAGACCGACCGAACGTTCAAGCCTACAGAGACATGCTAATTAACCAGTTACGACGACTAGCAGGGCGATGAACACCTGATCATGACTACGAAGCTCATAGCAACCATCTTGATGAAGACGCAGGTCTCATGCATTGCATTTCTCCTGGATTACCCGTAGGGATCAAGCTCCTTGTGGGTAGATACCTTTACTGCATGCTTGCCTGTACCTAGATAACTGAGGATATCATGAGTTACTACTGCCCATACCATGGTTTCCGAGAGGCAAATGAAAACCTAAGTAATGAATGCTTACGGGACTTAACCAAAATAAATGAAAATATAAAAAAAATTAACCACCATCTTTGATCTGCAACTAAGACATTTCCTACCTTTGTTTTGTCTGCTGTCCAACTGTGTACATGCCGTTTGTCACGTGGGAAACACAAGACAGAGCTGCGGGTAACCGTAAGCTGCATCTAACCTTATTTGAGGTTTCTCAGCAAACGGTCGTGATGGTAGTTATGCGTGTATGTGTGCGTAGTAGGGCATATATGCATGCGTGTGGTGTGTGCGTACCAGCAGCTTGCTTGCTCTACTAAAGGAAAATGGTTTCAGCCCTCCTTTAAAGAGCTTGCTTCTTTCTCTTCTTGGAGAGCCCGCCGCCTAGGCCCTTTTTATTATCATTTATTGAATGGTTCCTCAGGTGCCGTCTTAATTAAAGCCAGCCGCGTTAGATCCTATTCTCGTACGACTCTCCCGGCGTTGTTGATCCGGGCTCGCACGGCGGTATAAATAATACGGCGTGTGCCTATTTCCCACTCGCCGTTTGCCCTCTTGGTTTTTTTGGTATTTTTTTCTGACATTTTTATCGCCGGGTCAGGCACTCGCTGTTCATTTCAATCTACTTTCCTCTTCCCTGTACAATATGGAAACCACCACCACTTCCACTTCCTCTCCTGCCCCCCCAACCGTCTCCGGAACAACAACCGTAAACTCCCCCTCCGATCTTTCTTACTCTTCCGGTCCTTCTCATACTTCTTCTACTCTAAATACCTCCTCCCCTTCTCCTACATCCATAATTACCACCCATTCCTTTAATAACGACGTTCCTTCCCCTTCGTCCTCTTCTTCGTCTTCTCGGCACTCGCCCATTTTAGACTTAAACTTGAATACTTCCGATTTTGATCGCACTTCTAAAACTTCTTTCGATCACACTACCAATAATTTCATTCAACTTCAACCCAAGATGGATCGCAACCCATTCCAGTCCATCAACGAACGCCGCAACAAATTCACCATGGATCCTAAAGACAATAATACCAGCCAAGTCCAACAGGCTCAGCAAACGCAGCCCACACAGGCATCCATACAACCACCGTCCCTACGATCGACCATGCAGAACGCCACTCTCCCTTCACGAGGTCGCGCCTCAGCTAACTGGAGAGCTCAGGAAGCCTCCGATGAGATCGCGGCAATCTCGTCCCGTGGTAATAGCAACGAGTATAACTCGTTCGAACTTCTCCCCCAGCCCACCATCAGTCATTCCCTACACCACCCATCCAACTCGCTTGGAATCCTTCCCTCGTACGCAAACACTACCCTAGAACAATATCACCAGCCACTTTCCGGCTTCGCAACTTACACGATGGCGACTACTCCTTCCGCCCCCGAGACGTCGCTGGACGGTAACTACGCATACTGTTTTGACCGTGGCAACGGTCAGTATACACGCCTAGTCCCAGTTGACATGCTACCGCCGCTCAGAGACGTGCCGGCACTACAGCAGGGCAGCGCTGGGATGATCGTGTTGCCGATGCCACGCGCGCTGCCTCCTAACGGGCGATCAAGCAACAGTGAGTCGGTTATGCTTAAGGTAAGCTATTACCTCTACTGCTGTCTACTATTTGTTTTCACGATACCTATATTGGTTCCATTATTGCTACTTGGATCTGAGCACTTGTGCTTACTGCTTACACAGAGCGCACCGACTACCCCGTCCTCGCGATCTGATACTATTCAGGTGAGTTCGGGATTTTGCACAACGTACCTGCCCTGGATGAATACCAGTCTTTCGGCTGCTTCGTCGGCCCCTCCGAGCTACCTCGTCCCTGCCTTTATTTCGCCGATAGTTTCATATGGAAGGGGCGATATTATACAAGAACAAACGCGGCCCCACTTGCCGGAGCTCTAGACATACCAAGTTACCCTGGATTCGCCCTTTCTTTTTTTTTTCCAAACCGGCCTAACATCATTCATCTAATTTTCACATGTACCTTGGTGTCTTTTGGACTTAAGCTAACCCACCCTTCGCCATGGCAGTCCCGCATCGATACCATCGTAGCGTCCACGCCCCCGACGCCTCCGCACAACCAGTCCCTCCTATCCATGTCGAGCGGCGGGGCCACCGGCATAGGCGCGGAGTCGGTGACTCCGAGGGTGGGAATCAACCCTCCCAACGCGGGCACGCACCTCACGGGCCACATCCACGGTGCTCAGAACGCAGGTGGTACGCACGGCGGCGGACACGGAGGCCACGGCGGCGGCGGCCAACAGCCGCAGCGCCGGCCGAAGATCTACTGCGACAAGTGGGTGCACGAGGGCGTGTGCGCCTTCACTCAGCAGGGCTGCAAGTACAAGCACGAGATGCCCTTCGACAAGGTGACCCAGCACCAGCTCGGTCTCTTCCACGGCTTCCCCGCCTGGTGGAAGAAGGCGCAGGCCGACCTGTCGCGCCAGCGCGAGCCCGTGGCGGCAGGTTCTACTCTTGCGAACATGGGGGGCGGACTTGGCATGGGCCGAGGTGATGATACTGCAAGCCGACTTAGCAGCGCCGATCGCTACATGGCACGCGGTGGTGGCGGACCGGGCCCTGGCAATGGATCGTCTTCAGCTGCGAACAATATTGGCGCTGCTTTGGGTGTGAGCCCGGGCGCCGCAGGCGATGTTGCTACCGCTGCGATGGGACCTGGTTCGTCTAACCCGGGCATCCCGACTTGGCGACGCAATGCGGAACACCATCCGTCTGAGCCGAAGTCCATGGGAACGGGACGCGGTATGGCGCGAAGCTTGGGACATGGTACTAGAAACCCTGTTGGTATGTTACTCCTTTTCTTATGGCCCTCTCTCTTGTCCCCGGTATCTAGTATCGTTGTGAGAGTACCTTGGCAGATGAGTGAGGTCTAAGAGATCAAACTGCCTGACTTTTTCTACGCAGTGTCCTACGGATCCCCTTTCGGACCCATCGCGCCCCCCGCTCGCCTGTCTACCTCGACCCCGACCACGATGTACCACGCGGCAGACCCCGCCAACGCGGGCCAAGATTCGTCGAACCAGACCGGCGGTCCGCGAAAGCGACTCAGCAGCGTCGGAAGCACTGCTACCACGAACCCGTACTCGTCTCTCGAGTCCCTAGACGAGGCTGGCCACGATACCGGCGCCGGCGAAGAGGAGACTTCGGTCTCGGCCGCGCACTCTAGCGGAGCGCGTCTCAACTAGGATTCTCTAACGCATGGACAAGGAAGAGCAAATATATGGTCGCAACTTGAATACCGTGGATATTGGGACATTCTAATTTGGAGGGAAGAGAAGAAATGTCGACGTTATTAACATCGTATTAGTTGATCACTCGACACCAATATCCTCGGGGATCCTTACACATATAGCCCTATACATACGACCGATCATTTCCCGTCTGCCAACACAAGTATCATTTTGCAAGAATTATCACTCGCTGTCTGAACCAGTTCACGCGCATGCGCGGTCGTCGAATTACTTTTTTTTCTTTTCTATTTTCCCTTCTCGCGGATCTGGAAGGGGCGGGAAAATCTAAAAAAGGGAGGAAAAGTGAAAAGTTACTTTCCTTATGTTCTCCGCACACGACGACACGACCAACCAACATAGAACGAAACGACCTGACGAGCTGCGAGTTTCCCATCGCAACGCATCGCAGTCGCCCCCTCATGGTTCTCGCGAACCGCGCATGATTCACGAACAAATGCTTTGTATCTCGACGCTTTTTCCTTTCTTTTGTTTTTATTGTCAAGTAGTGCTGATCTCGTGGAGGAACAACCGAGAATCCATTCGACGGATTATCGGAAAATGGCGGAAAATGGCGGGAAAAAAAGGGGGGGGGGCAGGATCCATTTGCAGATGTATAATAGATTAGCTCTCGAAGCAAGTTGCAAATTGCAGATTTGCAGGCGCGCAAAGGCTAACACACCGTAAATACTGTGCAGATACATGGGAGCCAGAGATGGTCTAAATACTACGTGGTATTTGAATTTCTACATGAGCGTCGCGATGAAATGACTGCGTGAAAGGTCTTTGCTCCTCAAACAAGTGGGCGGTTTGATTATGCAACGCGGTAAAAGTGCGGAAATAATATAATCAGTTTTTACAACCCCAAATTTCATCCAGTTTGGGTTGTATGCCCGACTAGCTCACCGGTAGAGCGCCTCACTAGTACTCTTATCCTGATAAAGGATTGGTCATGAGGAGGCAACAGGTTCGACTCCTGTGTTGGGCATTCTTTTTTTTTCTTTTTAAATATACCTAAAATTCTCGTCGATTATCATTTTATACAAGCACAAAACATAGGATCTTCTGCAGACCAAGGCAGGATGCTTAACTAAGCACGTAAACTTCGCGCAACTTTTACACACAGCAAGCAACTTGAAAACAACCACAGGACTTAGCTACGTAACATTTATGGGGTTACAGTCTTGCCTAATTGGGCCTATACGAGTTGTGTGGTTGGTGAAGTCTCCGGTCCCCCTGTTTTTTAAGTTATGGTAAAGTGCTGGCTGCCCTGCTCGTATTTCTTCTCTTCTTGTTACATTATTGATAGTTTCGTTATTTAATGCTTCATTTATGACTTCCCTATTCTATATTGATTAGGGCATCACATAAATCTTCCCGTATAATACACCCCCCATAGCCCGAAGCGCTATGGCACATCTGGCTACAATGTGATTGGCCAACAAGGCAGAATAAACATTGAGGCTCCAGAAACCTATGGAATAAGCCAGCCTTCTCAGTTGACCAATATGATGGCATATGGGAGTGTGGCTGGAGAAATGGAATCTGTCTGTCGAAAGTGATTAGAATTTGGTTCGTAGCCTTGCTAACTGACATCCTCTTCAAATGTATGGTCAAATATGAGAACTATGACGACAACTTCCAATTTCTGTATTGATCTGAGTGATGTAGATAGAGTACTGCCATGTACCCCGTATCAGCAATTGAATGTGCTAGGAAAGCGGTCGGAAGAGGCTTACGACTCAACTACAGGACTACCGAAAGACCACGAACGGCTACTTCATTCTACCAATGAATTAAATGACATCCTTGACAAGATCCGGGGTAGCCATGGAGATCTCCAGAAGTTAGGAGATGACGATCCCGGTGTTCAGGCTATGGCTACTGAGTGCCAGGGCATCGCATCAGATATCATCGTCTTGTTAGATCGATGTAAATCGAAAACGCCACATTCGAAAGGAAGCACGCTCAAAGCGACCTCCAGATCGCTTCGTTATAAGGGCGACCTTCAAAGCCTCCAGGTTAACTTAGAAAGGCATCAGCAACTGCTCCATCTGGGTCTTACGACGTCTATAAGATACATTAATTGACCCTTCCAAGTAGCTCGAGTGACTTCATAACTTGTGTCCATACAAGGTAACAGGTTTCCGGCCTGTGCTAACGCTAGAAATATTAGTGCCCAATTGAGCAAGCTTGCGAAAGTCCTCGTCGAGAAACGCGTTCAAGATGTTAACTTAGGATAACAACTCGAGGCCATCCAACACAGCTTGGAACATTGGATGGCGTTTCAGATCGATTGCTGGGTCTCTATGATCAGACACGAAAGGCGATAGCAATAATGGCATGCAATTGAATCCAAGATACGGCATTGGTCTCTCTCCGCTTACGCAGACACCTTCGAATGGATTTTTCGTGAGCCGGAAAAGGTCTTTGAACTTGAACCAGACCTTAAATTGTCGATTGTCGATTGGTTACGTCAAGGAAGATATCTCTTCCATATCCTTGGAAAGCTAGGTTCTGGTAAATCAACCCTAATGAAATTCATCTGGAACCACGAAGTGACGGAGCAAATGCTGAAGCAATGGGCTGGGGAATCGAAACTCCTTTGCATGAAGTACTTCTTTTGGAAGCCCCAATCTAGTCAGAGTGGGCTGCAGGGCCTAAGGCGCACTTTACTGAAGTCTACCTACCTTAGAGCAAGCCCCTGAACTCCTGGAGCTGCTTTTCCCCAGGCCTGGCAGCTACAGCACAGGACTTGAAAAATTCCCCAGCGATGAGGTTGTCTCCTGCGCGTGGGAGACCCTAATGGATGATGCTCGGATTATGGAACGTTAGAAGATATTTATACTCATCGACGGTCTTGATGAGTTCGACGAACAAAGAAATGCCGAGGACTACCATGACCTGGTGCAGCTGATCAAACCTGGACTTCCCGACCGGAAGGAAATATCAAAATATGTGTCTCCAGCAGAGAGTATGATGCTGTCAGGGGCCAAGGGTAGCTTAGGTGTGGCTCAGGCGTGGCGGGCTATAGAGGCGCCCCTATGGGGGCCTACCGGCTGGGTATATAAGGGGGGAAAGATCCCCAGGAGATTTGGAAGGGCAAGCGTCAAGGACTCCATCAATCTATCAACTGCTTTTACCACACAGCGAGCCTATGGCAAGCCTCTTGTGACTGATCTTTCACTCTGCGACACACTACACGTACGGGCTACACCCCTGACAGATGCTTTCAAAACCATTACTAGCAACCTGAAATTTCGATTGCACAACCTCACCAAAGAAGATATACGGACCTACGTTTCTGAACACTTGAAGACACATCCCCAGTTCTTAGAGCTAGAGGATGCGCCTGTGGTAAAGGGACCTATAATCTCTGCAGACTAAGATCACACAAATGCGACCCCGATTGCCTAGTAAAGCATAATGTTCGCAGAGCCACTGGTGTCTTTCTCTGGGCTCGGCTCGTGGTGGTCGAAATACGAAAGTACTTCGAGTCTAATCTATACATGCTATGGAAGCTTGTCAACGCGAAACCGAAAGAACCAACGGATTTGTTAAAGCACATGTTTGAACACATTACCACGCTCTTATGTTGATGCTGTTTATTATTCATTTACAGCCATCGTATATTGCAGACGTCTTCAGACAGAATTACCCTGGATGCTGAAACGGTTGGCCGATGTACCAAAGAGAGGACTTCAAGCAACTATCGTAATTTCGAGCTGCAAAACCATATCTGATGAGTCAATTCAGGATTGTGCTTTTATGAACGCTTTTCTCGAGTGCGGGTTTGTCGGCATAGATATATTCGAAAGATAAGTTGAGACAGATATCTAAGCATAGATGTTATACTGCTGTGTCATGGTTTATTCTTATAGACCGTCTTCTAGAAGATGGGACAGAAATCAACAGTCACAGTTGTAATTTATTTGAGCTCTGGCTACATCATGGAGCTAGTCCTCGGGTTAGTATACTCTACCACGATAGACCTTCTAACTTTAAAAAGGTAATACCGTATCCCAACGTTGCCAATGTGGCATGTCTAACATTGAACGTGGGCAGGGACGTTCGAGGGTCCGAGTAGCAGCGAAGATCGGTTGCGAATGGGTTGAAAGCATGTATGACCCTGAATCCAACATGCCGATGTTCAAAACCCGTAGGTTTTCTGGACATTCTAAGGTACCCAGGTCGACATTCAGGGAGTGGATCGAACGTCCTGATGTCCACAACAAAGAGCGGCTCCTAGGACTCATAGACCGGAACATCGCCTGGATCGAAGAAGATGAGGCAGCAGATGCCATGGTCCTCTTTGAGGAACTTCCATTACCAGACGTACTCCAAGTCCCTGAATACGTATCTCTACGAAGGACTGCAAGATCCATCTGGAAGGCCGGTACCCAGAAGCTACACCACATAACGTTCAGCACCGACTACCAAGGAAGTGATGTGATTTTTATTCCATTGATATACGGGAATAGCATAGGCTAACCAGACATAGGAATCCCCATACTAGCAACCTTGATTCTCCTATTGTCTTTGGCTATAGGAAGGGGCGTCATCTCTAATTCGAAGCAGTGGGGAAGAGGAGTCCCTTCATCCAGCGTGGATAGTACGATCGAGCATGATCTGTTCTAACAGGTCAAATACCATCCATCCCGTGGTACGGACTGGAGCAGATATAAGGTCGAATATAAAGAGGCCTCGGAAGACGTTAGCTTGGTATATGGAAGGGAAAGGGCCTTTCTTATTTGGAGTTATCGGTAATGTGTCTTCAACTTCTCTTAACGACATAGACTCCTGATAATCATAACTTTTCCACTGTCTCCATCCTACTTACTATATGACAATCCATGGTATATGTGTTAAATAGACTCACGAAGAATGAGAAACCCAACCACCGCAAATGAATATACAAGCCTCAAAGCGGCCTCTACAGCAATATAAACCACTTAAGAACGAGCTTCCTTCAAGAACATGTATAGAGTTACTGAAAACTCAGACGAGATGAAGATGTTGCCGCCTTATCCACTGCTCCCCCCTTTTACATCGAAGCCTCCCCCTCTTAAACACCTAAACCCCTGAAAAGACAAGGGAAACAAGAACAGCCAAATCTCAACACCTTAGATTAGTGTAAGTATACGCGCCCACTTAAGCAACTATCATTTAATCAACCAACAATCCCCCTTGATTCTCTTACAAAATAAGCACGCCTCTTCTCGCGCTTCCAGTCATGATGAATCAAGACCAACCAACCAACATTTCCGAAAACACGACAGCACCTAGGTATATACAGAATAGTAAAATTCCGATAGGATGCCTAAGTTACGTACCTATAAAACGAACAAATAAGGCAAAACCTAGCTTACCTACCTACCTCTCTCTGGATATGACAGATCACCTAGGCGGCCGTAGCTATCGCCTACCTAGTTAGCGGTAATACATGCCTACTTACCTCTCACCAACCATTCCAGCAACCAACGCTCCTCCCTACTGCCTCCAGCAAAACCACAACACCATACACAACAACCTCACAATAAACAACACCTCCCTGAATCAAATAACCAAACCAAACCCTATCCCCTCAACCCCCCCGCCCCCCTTCAAACCTCACAGACCAAGCAGCAAACAAGCACCAACCATCCGCCCAAACAAGCAAGCAGCCCAAACAACGCCGCGCGCGCATACCCACCACTAAAGTCAGCTGACCCCTCGACCTACATACAGTACAACCTACCTACGCCGCCTCCCCTCAACAAAGCAGCAAACCCATTGATTCACTGTCAGCACGAAGCGAAATAGCACACACATGAACAATCCACAACATGTAATTCTCCTATACTACGCTACGCCATCCCACGCCTCAACCCAAACACACCGAGTAGCGAGGTGCTCTTGTACAGATCCCCCAAGTACACAAAAGATGCCACTCCATCCCATCTGCTAAAACGTGGTCTATCTACTAGGTAGCCTGTCTCTTTTCCCATC